CCTCTGCTCAACCTCCATCAACAGACAGTGATTTCACCATGATGTGCCAGAAGGCCCTGATACTTTGCACCCCCACCTTCCACTGCCTTGTGTTATATAACAAGTGAATACCTGCCCGAGTGCAAGAAGCGGAGTCACAAATAGGACGATTGATTTAGGGGGCGCTCGCCTTGGAGGACCCCCAGAGTGGACCCCTGACAACCACTGAACTAAGACCTGAGCATGTGGAATGGCAAAACTACTCCCACTCTCGCCTCTCATGCTAATGAGGGACTGTATAGAAGTAACTCACATAAATGGCCAGGAGACAGAGGAGCTAACTAAAAAAATAAACCTTTATTCTAATAAAAGGGAGAGTTCACTCAACAAACCTCAGTGAGGTCTCTCAACTCAGTGGAGGCTGCAGCTTCTTTTATCCCCTTTGCCTGGAGCACAGGTCCCTCCCTGTTTGGCTGGGATACTCTGGAGTTACAGGCTTCCCAGCAGGCCTACTGTGTGTCCCCCATTATGTGCTGATTAGGTGGCTCTGGAGGTCACTGACATTGTTCAAGGTGAGGCCACAGCACTTCAAAATGGAGGACATGGCCACATGATCCTCCCATGCTGCTGGTTGGTCCCCCTGTCTCTGGGCAAACTGCACCTCTCCCGAACTGACAACTGAACAACCAGCAACTTTGTTGGCTCTTTACTGCGAGCTGTGACTGCCCTGCAAACTTTGCAGGAACACCTACTTGTTCCTAATACCCTAAAGCACTCAAGAGCACAAGCAGCCCCTGAGCCCATATGTTAGTTTTACCCTTGGGCAGTGCATGTCACCGCATCTTTCAGACCAACCTGATCTTCTGTGGATGCTCCTCTACCTCAGTAGCAAAAGCCTTCCACTGGAACCGGGCTGTGATGTTAGTTCTGTTGTGGATGAGCATGGTTCTTTGGCTTGACAGCGTGAGATAAGTCTTGTCAAATTCCAAAGAGTACTTCTCCAGCCCGATGTTGAAGTCCTTAGCTTTTCCATGAAGCCTGGTGTGGGTATCTTCATCTGGAACAAAGCAAAGAGGAGTCTGTGCTCAGCTCACTCGCTGATGGAATTAATTACAAGGACCAGAGCAAACCACAGGTAAATCTCATCCCTGTTTGAGGGCATCCACTTTATCAACCCCCTAAACACTAACTAGTTTTCACTTTTCTTTGTGGTAAAGCTGGGATGGGGCAGTGCTGCTGGAGGGGGAATTCAGGTGGCTGGGACAGTGGGGAGTTGGTAGAGGACTGGGGTGGGGGTGCAGGATGGAGAACACCATGCTGACACCAGGGTTCCCCCCAGGGATGGACCAGCACACAGCAACACACCACATCCAGAACAGGGACAGACTCAGCCTTGGCCCCTTCTTTGCTCACTTCTGAGCACTGAAACACACAGAGGCTTGAAATGAACAGTTCTACAAGTAGTTTGCAGAGCAAGTCTAACGTTATTCTGCTTAGAAAGGGTTCTGCTGTTTTGAAGGATGCAGGGTGAGTGCACCGTGCAGTGCCCAGCACTCACCAACTATGTCGCAGTGCACTGCCAGGGATGTGGAATGATGCCCAATCTCCCTTGGGTGATATTCCACTGTCACTTGCATGGCTTCACCAATGTCGAGGGTTCCCGTGGCTGGACTGACAGTGAAAGGGCTGCAAGACCAAGAGAGAGATCAGGACTCTTGGGGGAGGTTTGGGGATATTTGCAGTCTAGTTCACTTCAGCTGACTTGTGCAAGCAAGGAGCAAAGCAACCAGTCAGCAGAAGACAGACAGAACACACAGCATCAGAAACAGCTACCGACTCTCTTCTGAGGAGATGCAGCCCGCAGAAAATCCTGTTGGATAAAATGAACTCATCTCCCCCATACTCTGCATGGAGGCTCAAGGGTCTGACTGCCAACAATCCCATCAGAGAGTGGTTTGGGAAGAGCACAGAGAGGGTTAAGAGCTATTTGCATACACAACTTGACACTGACTGCCTCAGAAATTTCTCTTTTTCAATCCCCTATTCAAGAAATGCAAACGGCAGGGCACTACCTGTCCTGTGACATTACAGCCTAGGAATCAACAGGGAGAATAAAGTCTTCCTTGAAGACCAGAGAATAATGAGTTTAATTTGCAGTGTGGTTGTGTGGGGTTGTTTTTCCCCTTGTAAACATCCTGGTTTAGCCCAAGAAAGGGCACGTTTTATCAGCATTTCAATGAAAGTTGCTCGAAGAAAAGGAGCAATGAAAACTGAATGAGTGCAACTGCAAATTGGAGCAATACAGTGACATGGAAACAATACCCAAAAGGAGGGTCCCGTTTACAGCCTGAAGGATTCAATCCCAGCTAAATGAAGTGCCATTAAGAGCAGCACAGCAAGGGAGCTGAACAGGAGGTTTCTGTGTATTCACCAGCCATGCAGTCTGGGATTCTGGAGTGTCATCAGCCTGGTAACTCTTTGCTTGGCCCACCAGAGAAACAAGGAAAATAATTAGGTAAATGTGGGTGCAGTTTGGATTTAACAGGAGCAATTTGGCTTTGTCACCAGGTAAACAGCTCTTGCCTGACAGACACAAAAATCAGTGCTTTAATGCTTCGGGATAGCTCAGGTGAAAGGTGCTTCTGCCCAGTGGCTGCTGGGCTTTGTGCTCTTTGTACAGCCCCACTGAGAAAACAAAAGTTTAGTGCTTTGCTGATGGTTAATTTGTCACCTTAAAAACATTTCCTGGGGAATCTGATGATTATTAGAGAATGCAACACAAAAAAAATAAATAAGAAGAACAACTGGAGCCGTGTGCAAGCTGAACTTTGTTCCTCTCAGTGGTGACAGCTGATGGAATTGCTGCTCTTTCTGCTTCTTAAGGAGCTATTGCTGCAATTAGGGGCCTGACCCGGGCCCATTACCACCAGTGAGAACATCACTACTGGCTAATGGAGAAGCCTTGGGCCAGCAATGTTTTTGTGCTGGGCCTGAGACTTTGGAGAGAGAGGAGGAAAGACAAGGTCCCACCAGCCCCAGAGCTGGATTACTCTCCGTGCCCCTGCATCTGCCCCGATGGGGGTGCCAGGACTGCTGCAGGGCTCTGCTGGGGCTCAGGGGTTCGTTGCCTGGCCTGGGAAAGGCATGGAATTTTTTTCCTGTTCTTTTGCCAGAAATTTTTCTAGAACAGAGAAGCTACTACTTAAGGGGAATCCCTGGCAACTCTTCAGCACTACCTTCCCTCCCGTTCCCTTCCTACTCCTGCCCCATGTCCATATACTCCTGCCCTCAGATGGCTGGATGGGGAATGAGACTCCTGGCGCTGACTTCAGGGGATGCCTGAGAAAGAAGGTGTTTTCCTATTTTCAAATTCTCAGAAGAGGATCCAGCCAAGTTCAGGACTAAGAACTCAAGTGCAAATCAGTCCCTGCATCTCTGACATTTTCACATATTCCCCAAATTGCTCCTGTTTCTTATACACCTGTGCATATGCCTATAGGTAGATGGTAGATCAACAGGTATGAGAGGACCTTGAAGAAAGTTCCCAAGGAAGAATGAATGACAGTTTGACAAAAATTTAACCAAAAACAAAATAAGTTGAAAAAAAAAGCAGAAACATGGGAACTTCAGAGTATTTTAAAAGAAATCTGAATGAAAGGTGGGGGACACTTAATTAGAATAAAATGCTTCTATTCAAATACTAAATGATCTGCTTGAAAATTTATACTGGCTTTCAAAGGTTCTTCGTGAAACAGGAGAGATGACTGATGCCCTCAGCTGACAAGGGAAATCAGATCGGCTTTGACTAACAGGAACGGCACAGGCTGTTCACATCAGCTCACGTTGGGCATCTGATGAGGGGCCCCCTGATGTGCCACACGCTCGAGGCCTCCTGGAGAATGGGTTTATTTGGCTGACACTGGGAGGCAGCCATTTCAGAAGGTGTTGGTGCTCAGGAGGGTGCAGACCAACTACTAACGTGTTCCAGCAGTCCCTAGGAAATCTGGGAGAGACAAAGCTCAGGGCTTGCATCCTGCTTAAAACACTAGAAGCAACAGCAGGCCCCACATGTCCTGCCCACTTCCAGCTGTGGCTGCAGTGCAGCAGCTCGGATGCTCTGGTTCCTTTGGGATACTCTTTCCCAACTCTGCCATCACCCAAAGGTGTTTTGCACTAAGACAGGTGAGCTGCTTTACCTCTCAGTGCTGAGGCTGTAAGAGGCTTCCAGGTTCCCGGTGTTGCGAACCAGCAGAGTCTTCTGGGTGCTGTGGTTGACTGGACACGATGAGAAGTCCAGCTGGTCGGGGAAGTCCAAGATTGGGCGGGCACCAATGGCCCGGATTGGTACAGTGAACTTTTCCCTTTCGCAGATGCAGACAAGCTCGTGGAAATGGTCTTGCAGGAAAAGAGACTGGCAAAGCACAAGGCATTGAGTGCCATCCTCATGGCAGAAGAAAAAGTGCTGTTTTCTATGAGCCTTTGTGGGCATGAATTTACCTCTTCCACCCCAAAAATGACCACTAATTCATACTAATAAAGGCTGGAGAACAGAGCACGTGAAAAAGCATCATTTTTGCTCCATTCCAAAGGGGAAGAATAAAGCTCTCTGGATCTTTTTGTTCCTCTGGTATTTTCCATAATTAAACCCCCTCCAGTGAGCCTAGAGATGGCTAAACATCAACACCCCTCCCTGTCATTTCCCTGCTGTTCCATGTACCTCTTCCCTTGTGAACATTCAAGAATAGGTGTGGAGGGAAAGCAAAGCCCTCTAGGCCCAGCTGCAGGGACTGGCAGCACCATGCTGTGCCAAGGTGTTTAACCACTGCAAGGACTGGCAGCACCATGCTGTGCCAAGGTGTTTAACCACTGCAGGGACTGGCAGCACCATGCTGTGCCAAGGTGTGACCAGCTCCAGGCTGCCTGCCCCCAGCCCAGAGCTGACCTCACAGCACGGGGTGGGCTATAACCAGTGTGCAACAAACGCTGTAGCTTTAGAGAGAATGTTCCTCCAAACTCACCTTGCTCCCCTCAGGGATGAAAAGGATCTTTATAGTGCAAAATGAGCCTGCTGGGATCTGATGGCACACACCATTGGGGCCGACCAACTTGAAATAAGGTGAGCTGTCCATGGTGACCCTCACCAGCCGAGTAACCTGCAGGAAAGACACAAAATGGTGATTTTGCCACTTGTGGAAACCTGAGGAGACCTGGGTGTGCCCTGGTGACAGCCTTCCTTGACCATTTTCCCAAAGGACTTTTAGCTCTGGAGGTACAAGCAGAGGATACACAAGGGTGAACTTGAATCCCTTCTGCCTGGGCAAAGCAGCTCGGCCAGAGGCAGTAGGGCAGTGCCTGCTGGGAAGGAAGGTCAGGCACCAGCAGTATGGAGATAGAACACCTGAATCAAGTCATCCTCATTTTCAACAAGCCCAGAGAATCTGCTTGCTTCTGCCTGCACACAGCCATGCAGCCCTGTTCCAGAGGGAGAATGTGCTACCTGAAGGCCAACCAGCACATTATCCTGGGGGAAGGAAGAAATTCCCTTCGAACAGACTGAGTTACAGTGGGGAAGTCCAGCTGTGGGGAGATAGTCATATGGGCACACCAGCAAGAGGAGACCAGACACTTGGCCTTCCTGGGAAACTGAAAAGGAGGAACACAGCACGACAAAGAGACAAGCCCCAACACAATGAGATGGCAAAGAGAATTTAAATGGGCTGTAAAGGAGCAAGGGAGAAGCACAAGACACTGCCAGGAAAGGCTGGTGCAGAAGATGAGAGCAGTCAGCTTGCCAGAGTGAGGGAAAGCCAGACGGCCCTGCAGGCTGTGTCTATCAACTCTGGGCTTCCAAGGTATTTTCTGCCTGGAGAAACATGACCAGCACTGACAGTGTGGTTTCATTATTAAAAGACAATCTCAGCTCTCCAGGGGCTCTTGCTGCCTGGTGATTATGGCCAGGCAGCTGCCAGTGCAGGCAAGCCAGAGTGCTGTGCATTCCTGCAGCCACCCTGCTGCCATTTTCTGCCCTCAGGGGAACACAGGCACAGGGACACCAAACGCATTTTCTAGCACACGGGTATTGACCCCTGAGCACCAAATCCCATCTCACAACATCTAAACCAGGTGATTTGGACTCCCTGCTGTCTATTCCCACCAGCTTGCTCTTGGCACAAGAGTCATTTGAGAAACTGTTTCCCTGACTGAAATTCAAAAGGTCTCAGTTTTCCTCTTTACAGTGCAACACAATCGCTGACATTTTTCAGCTTCTTCCTTCTCAGCTTTCTTGGGGAATTGCAAAACAATCACACTTTGTTCAAGTGAAGGTGGAAACCCTCAAGAGCACGTTGCTCTGGACGTGCTGTAGTTCTGGAAAGGCAAAGCAGAGCACCATGTTGCCTTTGGAAAACCTGAGCAGAGCTGACTTAAGCAGGAGTCTGAAGTGGCACCTAAAGGCCTCCTGCTGCTTCTGCTAAATGAGTCCAATTCCAGGGCTCTTTTCAAACATATGTCCTGCAGTGCCACTGCCACTAATTATAACTAATCATCATCACTAATCATGATTCCAGCATAAAGTGGAGAAGACTCAACCCCTGAGCTTTGACTGCCAGCTGCACAGAGGCAGCTCAACAGGCTGAGAGAGGCAGAGATGCCCACCAGGAACCAAGATTAACCAAGGAGCCACAGGACGTGGTGGTGGACACTCGAGGGGAAGCATGAGAGCAGGTGAGAACTGCACAGCCTTCCCATCAATCCAGGGCTTTTAAAGGAAAGAAGCTCCTTTGGGTCAGATACCACCAAGGCACAGCTGAAATCAGGGGAGAATCCTCAGCACGGGAAAATTCCCACCATCCTGCAAATCCAAGGTGGTGAATCTGGATGTGCCACAGCTGACACTTGCTCTGCTGTAAACCATGGGGGTTACACCACTCTCCTCTTCTTCTAGCACAGTGTTAAAGCTCCACATCCCAGCACTTACCTTGCCTCTATTCCTCAGAAGCAAAGGCATTTCACAGACCTTGCCCAGGGGATAATTCTGAAACACCAGCTCGGATGGGTATGGCTCAAGCAAGGTCTTGTTCTGGTCACGTGATGAGAACTGGAGAGGCAAGAGAGAGCAGGGAGAGGTTCAGCTGCTGGGAGGAAGGTTTGTGAATGACACTCCTCTGTGGATCCCCGGTGAAGGACAGGCTCTTGGTGACTTGGTCTGCCCAGCTGCCACTGGGGGAACAGTACCTCACCCACCTCTGCTCTGAGCTGATCAAAAGCTGCTGGACCACACTGAGAAGGCTCAAGCTGAGCAGCTCTTTTGGCAGGAGTTTCTCCAGCTTTCCTTCTCCAAAATGCCAGGCAGCACTTGCCTCCAGCACAGCCCTGTGCTAATGGAGTCCCAGAGCTCTGGGCACTCACTGAGCACTCAAGCAGTAAGTGATACCCAAGAATTTACATCAGACTCCAAAGGAAACAATTTTTGGATGACCTTTACTCTGAGGCAGGGAGACTGAGGCCCACACAACTCCAGACTCTAGAGCTTAGACACCAGTAAGAAGAGAACAGCACCAGAGGAGGTTAAGGCAAAAAGAAAGTACCACAGTAGATAGGAATAGGACAAATAAGGTGAATGCTGGATGAGGATAAGGTTCAGCTCTCTTCTCAGCAGTGCTGGACAACTTGAGTAAGACTGGAGTTGTGTTAAATTGGGAGTAATTACCTCAGGCCCTCAGCCTTCAAAGGCCAGCGCTGCCACTGTGCAGGGAATCCTATGACCCCCAGCATTTGTCAGTGACAACACCAAAGCAAGAGTTGGCTCTTTCAGAGGGACAATAGAAAATGGCAAGCTGGTGCCCTTCTGTCCTGCCCCAGCCTTCCCCCGGTATCGTGCCTTCACCATGGTAGCTAAACTCCAGCAAACCCCACCAGCTTCAGTAGAAATTATTTGTGTTGGCTTAGCACAGATCAGGACTCCAGCATCTCACTAGGAGAAAACGTTTTGCCTTTACCCCAGCAGAAGGAACTCAACCACCACCAGCAGTTTGGAATAACAATAGGACCTGGACACTGAGGTGTTTCAATAAGCTGGAGGCAAGGCACACAGCCTCTTCAAATGTCACATCAAACAGCAAGGAAAAGGGCAGGAAAAGGCTACCTTGCGTTTGGAGTTCTCACTTGTGCCTCGGTGCTGGACAATCTTGGGCAACTTTGTCTCCTGAGGGCTGTCCGGCTTCTTCCTGAACCTGAGCCCCATGTTCCTGATGTCAAAAATGGTGAACTGAAAGGCAAAAAAACCAGCAAGAGCCTCAGAAATGCCCTTGTTCAGAAAGGCTTTTCTTGTTCAAGTGGCTCTGATGAATCATTTGTGATCACAGCCACCAGGACAGTCCTGGAAGTCCTGGAAGTTACCTGCTGAAATATTTAACATCAGAAAACTAATGGTATTGAGCAGAACACACTTGCTCTAACCAGGCGGCTCTGCCTCATTAGCTTCTCCATGATTTGATGTGACACGTGTGGGGATTTCTGCTCTTGGGGCATTTGCGTCCTCTTTACTTTCACTGGATTGAGCCAGTGACCTTTGCAGAGAGTGGCAAACTGCCCTAACTCCATCCCTGCCCAAGGCTCACAACCCCCAGCACGTGAAGATGTCACTGCTGGCTGAGTATGAGAGAAGCAGAAAAGCAGCGTTGTGCCAAGACAAGAGGTGCAGAGCAATAGGTCCATAGTTCTCTCTTTGTAATTAGCACAGGTTTTGTCTCTGTCTGGCCTCACAGTCCCATCCACAGAAGAATATAGAGAGATGTCCTTGACAGAGCCTCAGCACTGGGTCACCTCCAGCCAAGTGAGCTCCAGGCAGCAAAGGGGACGTTTGTGGGTGGGAAGGAGGACTTGCCCCAATTCCACTGCTGCCTGCAGGGCTGGATCTGTGCTCCACACAGGAGATGAGACAGAACAACTGGTTAGGAACCTGTTCCAGGGGGGACCAGCCACCTCTCTCAAGGCTTCAGGCAGCGTTTGAGCTGCCCACCACGTGCCCAGGTGCCTGGAGGGCGGTGTGGTCAGAGAAGCACAGTGACTGTGCCAACCTGACAGAAGGAATTCCTGTGCTTTACATTTGTTTAACTTGGCTCCAGTGACACAGCCAGGCAAGGCTCTGGACTGTCCCTGACACACCATGACAGCCCCTGCCAACAGAAGCACGGCCCTAAGAGCTGGGGAGGGGGTCTGTAGCTTCACGGTGCTGCTGGACAGCAGGAGGGGCTGGGAGAAGAGGGACACGGGAGGAGTTTCCAGCCTTAACACAGCTCCTGGCCACAGCAGGTACTTACAGGCTTGGGCTTCTCAGGCTCTTTCGGCCTTAGAGGACGAGCCAGCGCCTCTCTCTTCAGGAATCTGGGATCCATTCTGAAGGATGTTGTGGGTGGATAAATTGTGGCAGTGTCTCAGCTCACCTGGAAGGAGCAACAATGGAATGCTGAAAATCCAGAATCCCATTCCTGGCAGACCCAAAAGATACAGTGGTGCTGCGAATTTTATATTATTTGAAAGTAGCTAAGTGCTTGTTTGGTATAAGTAAGCCAGAATTGTTAGGCTGGAAGTTGGACTTTATTTGAACTATATGGCTACGTTGTGTAATTCAAAGATGGATCAGAGTGAAATCTGGAGCTAACATTCTGAACATTAATAATAGTTACAAGAGACAAAGCTGTAGCTTAAATATTACTTGAAAATTATTAGCTAGAGTGGACAGCCCATAGCTGGTGGTATAGGAACTGTAACAACCTCCTCTTCTGCAGGCCAACCAAGCCCAACTTCCTCAGCCACTCCTCACAGGACTTACCTCTAGACTCTGCATCAACTGTGTTCCCCCTCCCTGGACCAAGTCCAGGGAGGGAGAATCTTTACTGCAGTGAAGGTCTCAGAACCAGATACAGTACTTTTGCCTGTTGAGAAACAAATGGATTTGATGTGATTATTTCACTGAACTCAAGGGCAACTTTTGATAGCTACCTTTGTACACATAAATATAGATGTTCCCATCTCTGTGCCTGCACGTGTGTGAATTGATCATGGTCTATGTAATAAGCAACAGAGTGAACCTTGCCATCAAACTTTGCTAGGTCACTGAGGAGACACCATTAAAGGGACGTGAGCCCTTAGAAACACAACATATGGGGGAGCAGGACCACGTCAGACTTTATCCTAGTGGCAGTTCTTCTCCAGCATCCTTATCCTACAAGAAGCTAAGGGTAAACAATCACCAGCCTGACAACCACCTCTCTCTGTTTGTGTCGTACAAAGTCGGTGTGCAAGAAAGGGCAAGAAGAGAAGACAACTCCAGAAAGTGGGTCTCAAGCACTAGAAACACAAGAACAGACACTGTCTTATGGACACCAGGACATGCTGCAGCAAGAGCTAGGATTTAAAGCTGGAAATTACCATCTAATGGGGAATGGAACATTAATCTGGATTTCAGTGATTTATTACTTGGTCTTGAGAATAACTGGGTTGTGGGAGCCCAAACCCAGCTTTCAGCAAAGGAAAACAAGGCTGGCAAACATCTCGTGATTCAAGAAGTTTGGACCCTTGTCCAGAGACCTGTTGATGTGCAAACCGGAGATATAAACCTGGCTCCAAGAAGAATTAAGAAAGGACTTTTTGGGATGATTGTTAAAACTATGTCTAAATCCCTGTAGTCCCTCTCTCCCCCATGTAATCCTACTAGAAGAAAAATTAACTATTTGGAAACTGCAGTAAAAACTTGTGTAATTCCCTATTTAACATAGGTTGTCCCCTTCATTAACATGTCCAAACGCAGATGCCTTTAAAACAGTGTTCAATAAACTATTCCAGTTCCCCCATACTGGGATCGTGTCTGGCTTTTATTTTTCAGACTGCCACTAATGTTGCCACAACTGTGGGGCTGAGAACCTTCTAACATTTAGAAGATTCGTCAGCCATCGGCTGGCTGGACCAAGGGAAGCAGCACTCCTTGTGTTTCGGTGGTGTGTGCGTAGTCAGAACTGAAAGAAGGCGGAAGATGTGCACGGAAACTTGTCCTCAGCGGGCGGGAACTGCTGAAGTGAGCTGACTACGAACTCCAGATTGGGTAATTATCTTTAAAGACTTTGTAACAATAAGTAGGGTACAATGGGGACTCAAATATCTTCTGAAAAAACCCCACATTTATTTAATTTTAAAACGCGAGCTTAAGCAGCATAGCGCGAAAATTGGCGAACAGCCCTTGCAGAACCTGTTGCTGTGGGCCCAGCGTCACATGTCAGAACTGAACGTTACCGACCTTCTTGATATGTGCTTGTGGGACCCGGCAACCGCCCGAAAAAACCTCAGCAGTCGCTGCCCGGGACGGGCCCCAGCCCCTGAGCGGAGCGCACAAGCACACTGCAGCCCGACACACGCTGCCCGGAGAGAGCCGTGTGAGACAGAACCACGGCCACCGCCGCTGCGGCCACCCCGGGCAGGGTCGGGGTGCGAGCCAGCGCCAGCGAACTGCCGCCTTGTCTCAGCAAGCTCCTGTATCGCCGCCCGCTACCGCTCTCAGCAGCAGCAGCCAAGCAGCGGCCAGAGGCACGGGTCCAACACCCTGGAGCAGGTCCCTGAGAGGGGGGCACCACCTCCGGCGCCCCAGCAAACGAGATCGAGAGACCCGCGCCGGCGGAAGCAGCAGCGGGACCCGAGCGGGATCCGCTCAGAAGGCAGGAAGGACCCGAAAGAGGCACCGGGAAAGACAAACACAAGCAGAGCACGAGGTGTGCAAAAACCGGGGCTATGGGGCGTGAGCGGAGGAGAGGATCCCACAGAATCCCCGAGGGGCTCCGGGAAAGGTCCGAGGGAGGAAAGAGCCCGAGCGGGACCAGCGGCGAAGGAGGGAGCGAGCGGAAGCCCAGCGGCAACAGCACGAGAGAAACCCGGGAACAGGGACCCCAGAGACAAACGGAGTGGGGCAGACACAAAGCTGCCGACTTCAGCAGTAGTCAAAGCAGCAAAACCCCCCTTCCTTGTTTTTTTTCCTTTTTCTTTGCAGCCTTGTGAGAAATAAAGAATCGGTTTTATTACAAGCAAATATAAGGCGTATCGCGGAGTTGTAAGACGCCGGATTCAGCCCGGAACCGGTGTCAGGGAAACATGCGGACGGGAATAAGGAACTGTAAAATTACTATTAGTAAAGAAACCCCTTATGCCACATGGCTGATCCTGAGAGACGTCATACTGCTGGACACTCCACCTCCTAGCACGACACAGAGGGAAACGCCTCTTCTATGACGTAAACAGAGTTGAACCTTAAGAATGTTTAATAAGCGGGACTTTTGAATTGGAAGGGGTGTTCCTGGGAATCCTGTATGCCTAGGACACCCGACACGTGTTGTAATTTTTCCTTTTCGTTTTATTCCTTTTGTTTTGCAAGCTTTTGCCGTTTTTCTAAATTTAATAAAATGAGATTTTTCTCACAGCCTGAACTTAGAACTGGTCTTTTTTTGCAAACCTTTTTGTTTATTAACCTGTTTCAGTTTCACAGTGTGAGTGAGGCGAACAAAACGCTACCAATGGAGAGATTGTCCCCCCGCGCAAAAACAAATAAACAAACAAAGAAAAAAAACCGGGAAAAGCGAAGGAAAGCAAAGAACCTTTGCTGAATGAAGATACCCTTCCATAACTAATAGCCAAAATTGTTTTAAAATGTATGCATAGCTGTATTTTTGAAAATTTTTAAGTTTTTGCAATAACAATTTTCCTTAAGTCCAAAAGCCAAATTAACACAGAAAGACATATATTTGCCTTAAAAATAGAAGAAGTATATATTTTATCCTTGAACTATAGGAATGTTTATATGTATTTAAAATTTAAATTGAACATGAAGCAAAATATGTTTTTACAGGTTATACTATCATCAAAACAGAAAACATATATTACTAATCTGAGGGTGAGAAACAAAAAATACCAATTTCTCAGTTCATAACCAAAAGACACTGTAAAATGAAACCCAAAGGTATGTTTGTATGATGTGTGTTCGATGGCCATCGAGTATGAATGTGTAAATGTATGCATGCGTGTGAATACGTAATAATTAATATGTTCTGATTTATACACAAATGCACATTACCTCACACATGCACAAACACCCTTAGATAAAAACCAGAAAACATATCACCCTGAGTTGAACAGAATTTCACTTGCAGAAATGTTTTAGGTTAAACAAAAGTTTTCAAAACCAAACACTAAAAAACACTTTCAGGTAAAAATCAGGAGCACACGAAGTGTCATCAAGTCATCAAGTTATTAAGTTTGGTTCAAAATCAATTGCTTATAAGTCAATAGGATCTTTAGAAGATAGCTTAAATAAAGTTTTATAAAAGTAATTTCTAATAAGAAATAATGGAAATAAGTTGTTTAAACAAGTTTTATATTAATCCAGGGTTATTTAATTTAGCGTTGTTGGGAATTTTTTCTTCTCACATGTTTACTTTTCTACATCCAGAAATGTTTGATAGTCTTTTTGATTGGTTAAATGTTTTTAATGTTAGTGCGAAGTTTAAGAAAATAATTTATGTAGCAATATGCAGAATGCCTTAAAAGAGCTGTGATTCCTCCACATGCCTTTATAATGCCAAACCTTGTGGCCCAAACTATTCTGACACACAATGCCTTTGCATAATCATACTTTCCATCTCACGTATATAAAAGACTGTACATTGCCTTGAAAAAGGAGCCTCCTTGCTAAAATTAATTTCACTTGTGGTATTAAAAGTAAGACTGCAATGTTTCTTGTTAGATCCATTTAAGAATACCTTTGCTTCTAAAATGCAGCTATAAAATCTGTTATTCACTCTGAACCGATACATCAAAGCATTGATAAGTTGAAGAAAGAAAATAGTAATCAAAGCTTACATTACATGTTTAGTTAGCATGATAAATTTAATACTCTAGTTAAAGAAAACATTTATGGTAATATTTGTATTTCCTTGTATTTTGTCTTGCATTAGCAAACGTTTGATCAAAGTTTTTTCCAAGTTTTTTGTTTTTTAGAAAAATAAAAAAAAAGAAGGGGCAGATGTGGGAGCCCAAACCCAGCTTTCAGCAAAGGAAAACAAGGCTGACAAACATCTCGTGATTCAAGAAGTTTGGACCCTTGTCCAGAGACCTGTTGATGTGCAAACCGGAGATATAAACCTGGCTCCAAGAAGAATTAAGAGAGGACTTTTTGGGATGATTGTTAAAACTATGTCTAAATCCCTGTAATCCCTCTCTCCCCCATGTAATCCTACTAGAAGAAAAATTAACTATTTGGAAACTGCAGAAAAAACTTGTGTAATTCCCTAATTAACATAGGTTGTCCCCTTCATTAACATGTCCAAATGCAGATGCCTTTAAAACAGTGTTCTCGTGTTCAATAAACTATTCCAGTTCCCCCATACTGGGATCGTGTCTGGCTTTTATTTTTCAGACTGCCACTCTGGGTTACTTGTACCAGTTTTCTAACTGCAGTTTCATTCACTTCAAATGAAGCCTGTCCATCATGCCCACACTGCTGTTCACAGAGGGCTTCCACTCTCCACGCCCCCATCCAGGCTAGCAGCTTCCCCTACCCTCTAGCCCTGGCGTGATGTTCTTCCATAGCCCCACGGTTCCACTTCCATGAAGCCTACAGGGATCTGCCTGCCAGACTCAGGGGAAGGAGCAGAACTGAGAAATCAGCCCCATCTCTCTCCAGGGACAGGACAAAGCACAGCTCCAGCCCACCACCACTGTGTCATGGGGAGAGATCTTCATCTTCCCCAGAGGCAGACAGCCCTTTACCCAGCCCACAAGTTAAGGGAGGATCTTAATTCCCCCTCTGCTCCAGGCTCAGGGCACAGACAGCTCTGGCCCCTCAGCTTTGTGTTCAGAGCACAAATGGCCTGAGCTTGGGCAGAGGAACCAGCTGTGCCAGGACACAGCAGCTGAGGCCACCTAGGGAAGCAATGAAGAAATATGGCCAGGGCTGGGGAACAATTCGTGACTGTCTCAGGAAACCCGGGTCTATCACAACAGGGTGTCAACCTTAACATTGTCAAGCTTTACCTTCCAGTAAAGGACACGAGTGATCTTCAAAGACAATTCTCTGCAAGGGCTCAGTTGGTGAAGAGCCCGGTCAGTCTTTGCCTTTCGGCAAACTGTAAGACTGACTTTTTGGAGAGTCAATCTCTCCAAAAATTCGCTTGGCGAAGCGTTGAATGTCGCTGCCTGACAGAGCTCAGGCCGCAGGGAACAGGGTAGGATGAGAGGGAACAGGGAACTGAGGGTGTCGCGGCGCCAGCACCAACGCAACAGTCGCTGTCACAGTGTTCCCGTTGCCAGGCAACGGATGGAAGCTGGAAGGGAGCTGTGAGGGGCTGTGTGGGGGCTGTGCAGTTTATATACAACAGAAATAATGTGCTATTTAATATACTAAATTAAAACCCAAACCTCTTGATATGCACTTGTACATGCCATGGCTAAACAGGTTCCAGGTTCCTGCCTGGTTCCAGCAGAATACCTGAATATCTGGTTTATGGCCAGTGTTCTGTTCAGGTTTCACTGAAATTTGAACAAACTTCATTCACCTTTAGCTGTTTTACATAATCACTCTAGGAAATAATACATTGACTAGTATGTTTAGAAAATGTTGTAGTTCTTCAGTGAAAAAAAGTACAATTAGTAGGTCACTTCTTGCTTGCCCACACAGTTGTTCACGTCTCTGAACTGTTGTTCCAGAAGACTGATGTTATGACATCCTATATTTCTCTTTGGCATTCTCTTTCAGAATACAGATATGCTGAAGAAAAAAAAAAGTACAGCTTTAGTCAATCTTTACTTTCAAAGGAAATTCAAGAAAGATTTTCAGTCACATTACTAGAATTGTAAGGAAAACACCCCAGAGCCATTTTTGTCACAAGTTTCCTACTTGCGGTAAAGTTGTGATGTTAATATTCTTTCCAAGCTCACCTGTAACATATAAATTTATATATTTTGTAGAAGTCAGGTTTGTTCAATTCTTTTATGCTCCTTCAGGCTGCAATAGCACAAATTGTTTATGTCTTTAACAGAACTGCTTTGTCTCAGTAATCAAACTTTCAAGTGAAAAACTTTTCCACTTAACTAGATTTAAGAAAGTACTTTTGAAAACAAAAGCAGGAAAAAAAGATCAGTTCTTTTTATCAGCTAATGCTGACTCAGTGCAGCCCAAGGAGGCTGTAATGGAACAAAGGAAGAAATATCTTGATGAACACATTACACAGTGTAGGGAAAACCTTCACTTACAGTCCACACACAGTCGTCTTAAAGACTTGACTAGAAAAGAGTAACATAGGATTGCACTAAGAGAGACAATCAAATGAATGTCAAATTACAAGTTATTTCCTTTGCAGATGTGGTCAGTAGACTGTGTGCTGCTCACCATCCTGGGGGATTTAAAATGTGGTACACCACAGATGGGCCATGGGACTTGTGGAGTAGAGTCATTAAAAGATAAGGCACGAAGAAGTTCTTATGCATTTACATTGAATTACCAGCTTGGCACCTTAAAAATTATTTGTGCTTTTAACAGAAGTTTCTAGTCAGATTTGAGGGTTTTATAGTTGTTGAGAAGCTCTAAGTGGATATTCTTGCTGGTTACCTGTGGTAGCTTTCATACCTAACATATGCATATACTTACATTTAGATCTCTGAAGTATTCGTTATAGTCAAGGGCATATCCAACCACAAATTTATCTGGAATTTCAAAGCCTATATCTGTAAGAAAGTACAATTCTTTTTATACTCGGGTGGTGTAAATAGTTTTTAAGTACACAGTTTGTATTGAACTCATGCTTGAACTAAGCACAATTGCTGACAAATGTCATGCTTTCGGGGTACTGAGCACAATTCCTTAAGAATCAGCTGTAAACTGACAACAGAGGTTAGAATATAAACCATTCCCATCAGTTAGTAATACAGTTAAAGTGCTAACAGAATGCATTTTATGAACAAAATAATTGTTTAAAACCTAGTTATGAAGTAGTCCTGAAAGAGGAGACAAGGAGTGAGATTTTACTTGTGTGAAAGTAGTTGCACTGCGACTCAATAGGACTTTTCAGTTTGAAAAAAAGGCAAGTTAAATACAGAGTCAAAACAATTGCCCTCTGGGGTCAAAGTCAAACGATACACAGCTAGGGTTGGATTCTGTTTCTGGTATCTAAATAGTTAAAATTATATTTAATTATTTTATTTATTGATTTTTAAAATTAATTTTTTTATCAAATAGCTTATCCTGTGCTCAGGCCAGCCAGGGGGATACAATGAAGTGGTCATGAGGTCTCAGGGTGAAGTAACTGTTCATCAGTTCACTAGGTTTCATGTATTTTCCACCTATTTCTCTTGGCCTTCCTGAAATTTATATGCCAGTTGTCAGACAGACCACATGAAGTGAAATTATGAGACTGTATTTTGGGTAACCAGAAAAACACAATACTTACAGTCTGGCCTGTAACCTGGGCTTTGACATGTCCTTTTAACAAGCAGGCTGTAAGGCAGAGCAGAGAAGGTAGAAGCTGTAAACTTCACTTCTCCCACCCCTCCCCTTAGGCTTCTACAATCATGCAGTTAAATTAAAACAGGGAGATTACTGTAATAGAAAAAGGTACTTTTCAGCTTTATAATGGAGGGAGAAGGAAAGGTTCTAATCTAGGTTTGTTCTGGAGGTCCAAATGGCTCTGTGGTTTTAAATTCAGGTCCTTTCAGTTCCATATCCCAGATCGTTATCCTTCCATGTATCAGTGCCTCAGCAAACTAGAATAGCACACAGAGGGAAGCACATTCAAGTGGAAGGTAAAGATTTTAGTGGGGAGGGAGGGAGAAGGGGACAAGCTGTGCAATGTCACTCCAGTTTCTTCCACAAAGTCATATCCATTCTTGGTTTTCCTGTGCCCTTTGGAAGAAACTGAGAACCTCCAGGACAGTCACTAGAAGGAGAATAACCAGCACATAAAACAAGAAGTATAGTGATCACTTGATAGACACAGGAATATTCCCCAAAAATTCATTTCAGAGATCTACTAAAAACTGATGTATAATGCTACTTAAAGTAATCTTGCAAGATTCTGGAAACTTGTATTACTGACAATTTTAAGATGTTGTCATTCGTGTATTGAGGCAACTGATGTGGTTATAGAAAACGGATGGAAGAGAATAATTTACTTCAAACAGGAGGAAGTAGGCAAGAGGGAATCCATCAGATTTTATGGGCTACAGAGAAAGAGCCAGAAAACCTTTTTAAAAATTTTAACAGTGAAGGTGGTAGTGCATGGGTAAGTTTCCCAGTTTAATAAACACCTAGTTTTTCAGCAGTTGGATAAGGATTGCATCCTGCATTTACTTCTTCTCCCCCCAAACTTCAAACCAAACCAACACCCACCAGCATGCATTGCCTATTCACCCAAATGATTTTGTTATATCAATACAATAACAATACATACAGTGGCCATGTTATTATACCTTACAACTTTAACCATCCTTGGTTTCTTGTCTTTTATTTTTGAAAGTAGTGCTTTCATTGTTCTACCCGTCTCAATAATGTCCTGAAAGAGATTAAAGAAATAAACTGTCCTTTGAGTCTGAAAGGAAAACCAGACTGTCAGTGGATTAATTTAGAGCATAAAACCCTGGCAGCCCAGTGACATTGTTTTATATGCAATATGTACTAAGTTGCAGAAAGGGGAGAAAAACATCCATGTCATTCCCCACCCCCTCCAACCTTTACTTACCTCTACTACTAACACGTTCTGGGAGAGATCACGTAGGGAGAGAAAAGAGAGAAAAGAAAATATTTACATGGCAACATTCAGTAAATTATATGTCCAGGAAAAGCACACTACAAACTTTAGTTATTAGGAAGTTGCAATTGATTTTCAAAGGAGCTTGTTGCTTAACTGACATTACTTTAGTGCTTTCTGAAGAGTCTTTCTGTAAGTATTTATGGAAACTTAAAACATAGTGAGTCAAGTTGTATCTATTATTCTATGTATAGCACTAGTATTCTAGAGCCATCCTGATGAGTCAGTTTGGTATTGTTCATTTCTAGGGGCTGTGGGATAAATTGTGGATCCACTGAGGTCAGTGGGAATTACTCACTATTTCAAAGTCCAGCATTTTAAATCAGTGTCAAGTGGCTGTAAGTATGCAGTACCAAAATCTTAATAAAGATGAACTTCCTGAAAGATAAACAAGAACAGTTCTTTCCCTTTAAAAGGTAAAGATGCTAGTTCATACCTTCCCATTTAGTGTAGACAGTTCCTCGCCAACAAAACTGATTTTTCCTGTGGGTGAATCATTCTAGAAAGAGAAAGAAGAGAGGGAAGTCACATAAAACAGGTTAAACAGTGTTATCCTGTATGTATGTATGAATGGTGTGCTGCTCTTGCTTTTTGCAAGAGGAGGATGTTGGATCCCTGCTGTGGCTTTGTCATGTTGATTCATTCTGCTGTATGTTTGTTGAAGTGAATGTATAACATCCATCTGTTCATTGGGGCAGTTCAGTAAATCAGTTCCTTTTCAGTGTGTAATCAGTTGAATTGCTTTGAACAGAATATATGCATAAACTCAATTTTTGTGGAGTTTTCATGTATACTACCAGCATTTAGAATGTCAATCTATGCAGAGAGTCAATTTTCCAAAGAAAAGAAAATTTCTTACACAGTAGCTTTTTATTCTAACAAAATCCACAGTAATAGGCACAGATTTGTCACCATTTTGATTTAGTGCTTTTATATGGTCCAGCAAATCAGCAAAGAATTTATAGCCTCCTTTAAGGACACAGAGTGCAACAATGTCATGACTTCCCATGTCTTGCATGATATCTCTAGCCAAGCGTTCTGTCCTGGGAGATAAAAAAAAAAGAAAACACACTCTGTAAAGTGTTTTGTATATCACACTTGTTTGTCCATATATTAAGCAGTGTCCAAGTTAAAATTCTGATCTTGCTGTTAGGTTTTTATAACTAGCAAGTTGTGACCACAGGAAGAAATACCTAATCCACTTGACATATTGTTGGTTTCATCCATAAATCTAAACATTACAGGATAGACGGGTTTGGAGATATTTGAGGTACTATGGAAATTTAACTGGTGTTGTAGAGGAATCTTTTCCATAACCCTCTCCTGTATTAAACTCTAGAACAGAAGTGTTAGAGTGTTAGAGCTGCAGAGTTTCTCATGGGCTGCACAGGGAAATTATCATTGACTTCACTTTGCTCTT